GGAGATGGAAAGGGAAGAAGAGAAATGGATACAGAAGACATCGCAGAAAAATGATACCTGTTGCTGTTGACTGTTAACACTGGGAAGAAGATGAGGAATGAAGGATAGAAAAACAGGAGGAGGAAGGTATAGTTACTTCTCGAAGTAGCTTGAAACAGAAAATGGTTTATCCTCTAGAGTTCAGCACAGCTCACAAAGGAGCATAGATAGCCTTTAATTCCTGATGGCAAGGGGTTTAGTAGCAAGGGGTGTAGCTGGTGTGTTCAGACATAGTTGCGTTTCATCACTATGATCCTGCCTGCTCTATAAAACACCTTAACTTGGAAACGTGATTCCCCCAGCCAATCTTTACGGGCAGATACGCTGCAGTAATATTCCAACACATGTCCTGTGCTTGCGGTGTTTCCTTCCCACATGGCCATAATGAGAGCTCTTCATATAGGAGTTTCTAATTTACTCTTACCCTGAAGGACAACATAAGCAATATGGGGATGTTGTTAAACACGGCATATGTTGTTGCTGTGAGCAGCTTTCTCCTTACCAGTCCCATGGGTGAAAAGTGCCTTGTTTCCTCAGAAGGCTTCTTGTGCAGGGTATATCAGTTGTTGACGGAGAAAATCTGTAGAAGAGTTATTACAAGACATACTAATAAAACCCTCCAAAACATAATTGCTGGCATCCAGCCTTACAGTTCAGTGTGGGAACTTCTCCTTCCCACAGGATGGACGGAGAGTAGTGTAAACTCATGTACAGCACCGCTTTACATACACAAACATAAATAATTAGAGTTAGTTCATGTCTTGTTGGAAATATAGTTAGTATCAAGCCTTGGCTTTGTTCCACTTTTGCTGTTTTATTTATGAAAAAATAAGTGTGTGTGGCCGTAAGTTAAACTGAGGTTATAAATATGCACGATTAAAATGGGCCCTGTTTGCTTCTGTGCCAAAATTGTCCCAGCAGGGGAATTTGGAGATTTCAGACTTATTGCTATGGCTCCTTGATTCTTCTGCACTTCTGGCTTCAACCACAGCACTGGCCAAAACCAAGCTGGAGTGGAGTGTTTCTGCTGTCTGACCAGGTACGCGGTGCCCAACAGGGGCAGCTGGCAGAGTTGCTGGTGCCGCTGGCTTTGTACCAGAGACAAATTCCCCTCTGATGGGAAAACGTAACCAGGTTATGCACCCTTTAAATTACTGCTGGCTGGGCAAAAAATGGCGCTGCCCTCCTGCAGCTTGGGATTCGGTCCCTGGCACATTCTCTGCCGAGTACCTCTAAAGACATACAACTCACGCAATATCTCAGACCTTCCAGGTTAAATAATACCCTAAAACCAAGCTTGTAATACACCATTGAGATTTTTCCTGTCTGAGGGGTATCTGCAACCCTGGATACATGTAATGCATTTTATTGTGCTCATTTGCAGCTTGAATGGCTCACGGGGGTCAGCAGCAGAGTGCAGACTTTTTCACCCCTTGAGCAATGAAGCATTGAGTAAAAGTTATTATTACCAATTAGTGGTGGCATTATTATTACCAATTAGTGGCTGTATGAAGCAAATAATTAGTTTTAGTTCTGTTATTAGCAGCCAGGTGTTCATGAAATGTGCCATGTGCAGCAGCGTTGGACCTCAGCAGTCACCATTGTGGCCAGTTGCTGAATTTGTGATGTCTCCGTGCTGTGCCTGCATGGGTTTTTGTTGTCCCCCCCCCAAAATAAGTGTGTCTGGAGCCAGTGTGGAGGGGTTTTTTTTCTATTGCTGCCAGTGTTGTGTACCCAGTGAGTGAAAAAATAAGGCAATTTCAATCTCTAGATGAGTATTCTGAAGCCTTTAATATACTGAATTCATGATGTAAATCCAAAAATTTTACAGTTTTGTTGGTCACTGCTTCATTTGGAAGAGCAAAATCGCCATGTCAGAGAAGGAGAAGTTACAGTGCAAATTACTCTTGATCGAAAGTATTGTTTCTCTAGGACTCCTGTTTTTGAAACCCATTATAATGACTTTACACAAGGCATTTGAGACAGCAAGCAGCGTGAATTCAGTTCTGCTTAAGAACTTAAATTGCACTTTTATCCTGTATTTTAGTTAAAAAGATTAGGACGTTAATGGGAAAAAATGGAATTGTATCTTTTGCGTTACTTCCATATTGAATTATGTATTTAACTTCGGTGCATTTTGAAGGGGGATTCATAGCTGGAGCTCTTAGAAAATGTATAATAACTAATAAAATAAGAAAAATAAGAATAACTAATAAAATTCCAATACCTCAAATACTTATTGCATAGAATTTACTTTAATCATGTAATTAGAATAGGCATTAGAAATCTTTTTCATGTTTTTTGGAGTGATGAGTAGAGGGTTGGAGTGTCGTTTCCTCCTTCAGTGATTCAGATGTCTTCTGATTTTCAACATTAGTGAAGAAAGGATTTGATTGACAATTCCTCTGAGGAGAGTTTAAAGCAAATGAATTGTAGGATGGCATCAGTCAGGTTGGGTCAGCCTGAGCACTAGTTGGGTAGGGACATCTGGTGGTGCAATAAAGGAATAATTGAACACTTGCAACTTGAAATGCAGTTGCATTGGAGTGATTAAGGCAAAACCATCATTATGCTCATGCTGTAATTACTTTTCTGTTTCAGTACTATTCTAGAAATACTTATATACATGTTTACTTTTCAGTTTGCATATAGTTTTAATTTACTGGAAAAGTAGAAACTGAAGCCCTGTTCTTGAGCTGGCAGCTTGCAGACGTGGTATATTGAATGCCCTTAACTCAAAGGGCATTTAACTTGCAGTCAACTGGAGGTTTAAAATCAAACTCGTGATACCACACCATGCTTCTGTCGACAGAGCGGGTATATGTAAACCCCGTGCATTTGGGCTCTATTTGTAGTTCTGCCAGTGATTCGCTGTGATCTCTGGGCAAAGCTGATTTAATTTGCTTCAGTCCATCACTCACCAAGTGTTTCAATTCATCTTTCTGTAAAAGTGCTATGATGATTTTCAGCTTCTGAATTCCACAGGCAAAGAATCATAAAAAATAAAATGTTTATATATCTTTGGTTACAAAGTTCTATATTAATTCAAGATACAATGACAAATCTTATTTGTGCAAGGTTACTATGAACCCCTGTTGATCATATATACATGACCAATATTTTAGGTGTAGTCATTTCAAAAGAGAAAGTCCATAGGACTTTCATCATCCTTAGGATGAATTTTGTACTTATTTAGCACTGTGCACATGGTGACAAAACCAAGTCCTTGGAAACATGTATGTTGAAGGCCATACCCTTGGGAAGACTTCCCAGGACTGTTTAATGCTGTGACATCTTACCAGCACTGCATCGGCACTCACTTGCCAGGATGAAGCAAGACTCTATTGATCTTTTGATCATCTTTCATCTCATTCATAGAATCATAGAACCACTTTGGTTGGAAAAGACCTTTAAGATCATCGAGTCCAACCTTTAACCTAACCCTGCCATCTCACCACAAAACCATGGCCCTAAGCACCTCATCTACCCTTCTTCTATGTACCTCCAGGGATGGGGACTCAACCACCTCCCTGGGCAGCCCATTCCAGAGCCTGACAACCCCTTCAGTGAAGAAGTTTTTCCTAATGTCTAGCCTAAACCTGCTCTGAGCAACCTGATCGAGTTAGCGGTGTCCCTGCTCACTGCAGGGGGCTTGGACTAGATGGCCTCTAGGGATCCCTTCCAACGCAAACCATTCTATGATTCTATGATCTTTAACTGGATCAGGTTGCTCAGAGCCCCATCCAACCTGGCCTTGAATGTTTCCAGGGATGGGGCTTCCACCACCTCTCTGGGCAACCTGTGCCAGTGTTTCACCACCCTCATTGTAAAGAATTTCTTCCTCATATCTGGTCTAAATCTACCCTGGTTTTGTTTAAAACCATTACCCCTTGTCCTGTCACAGCAGGACCTACTAAAAAGATTTTCCCCATCTTTCCTGTAGACCCCCTTTAAGTACTGGAAGGCCACAGTCAGGTCTTCCTGCAGCCTTCTCTTCTCCAGTCTGAACTACCCCAACTCTCTCAGCCTGTCCCCTGTCTTCTCTTAGAGTAGATGTGTTCTTGGAATGATGGTGTTGATAAGTTACTAGTTTGTGCTTTATGTATTGTGTCAGGAATGCATTCTTACCGCGATATATTGCCCATGCAATCCTATTAAAAAAAAAAGGGGGAAAAAACCCCCAAATATCTGCTCTTTGTTTTGCTACCAACATGACACTGGTGCTCTGGGAAGTCTTCGAGGAAGAATCTGTAGCAGCTGCAAGCTTCAACTCCTTTCATCATTCCCTGGGCAGAAAAAGCCAATAACCTAAAACTTTCACAGCCAATTACAGACTCTTTACTGTGGTCATTATTGACACAAGCAACCCTACAGTCTGTAAGGAAGGATGTATATAATCAAGCTCAGAATCAGAACAACTGCTACAGAATTAAAAAACTGGGACTTTCAGATTGAGTTTCCTTAAAGTAACGTGCTGCAGAGATCAGCAATGCACAAAGTAGAACAGTTTATCTCAAAGTCAGAGTAACTGATCCCTGCAGCTCTTCACAAGAGGGTGTTTTTTTTATCGAGGTCCAACCGTCCTTTCTCTCCTTACAGTAACATTTATGTTTCGTAGAACTCACTATGACTTTCTTCCACAAAGTAACAATTCTTTGTCACATGAAATCTATCATTGTCACCCCAGTGATTCTGTCGCCATCCTTTAAAAATTCCTCTGCTCTTGGTTTGGGTAAAAGAGAGAAGCACTGGCATTTTTATGCTGTACCCTTTGTTTCTGAGACGTCCCAAGGCTGTGGTGACAACTGTGAAGTCAGGGGTAGCCACAGGGTTGTTACAGACATGCTCTTTTCCGTTAATGAGAAGCTGGTGTTCATCTACAGCCCTTGTAATATTTAATCTATAACACTTCATATTGCAAGCAGCCCATCGTAACAAAACCTGTTGGTTTTATGTTTCAGGTGCAAAGACGGCTTGAAAGGCTTTACATACTCTGCACTAAAGTAAGTGAAGTTTCTATGAGTATGTAGCTTGAAGTGAAGCTTTTGAGGCATCGTGCACAGTGGCAGCTGCATTGTAGGAAGAGTTTTCTCAAGAAAAATCATCCTGTTGTAAACTCTTCCAACTTTTGGGTGATACAGCATATTTTGTAGAAGGCATAATATGCTGGCACAAGAGGAATCTCTTCATATTTGGGAGTGTTACTGAAAGGAAATGCAGACATATGATTGCATGTTCTTGAAGGAAAAGCTAATCTTTTCTCTTTCTAAAATGGATTCATGATTCATAGAATCATGGAATCATTTAGGTTGGAAAAGAACCTTAAGATCATCAAGTCCAACCATTAACCTAACCCTGCCATCCCACCACTACACCATGTCCCTATGTGTCACATCTACCCATCTTCTAAATACCTCCAGGGATGGGGACTCGCCCACTTCCCTGGGCAGCCCGTTCCAGTGCTTGACAACCCTTTGGGGGAAGAAATTTTTCCTAATATCCAGTCTAAACCTCCCCTGGCACAACTTGAGTCCATTTCCTCTCATCCTACCGCTTGTTACTTGGCAAAAGAGACCGACCCCCACCTCACTGCACCCTCCTGTCAGGCAGTTGTAGAGGGCAATAAGGGCTCCCCTCAGCCTCCTCTTCTCCAGGCTGAACACCCCCAGTTCCCTCAGCCGCTCCCCATCAGCCTTGTGCTCCAGAGCCCTCACCAGCTTCGTTGCTCTCCTCTGGACATGTTCCAGCAACACAACATCTTTCTTGTAGTGAGGGGCCCAAAACTGAACACAGTATTCGAGGTGCAGCCTCACCAGTGCGGAGTACAGGTGAACATGATCACCGCCCTGCTCCTGCTGGCCACACTATTCCTGATACAGGAAATTCATTCAAGATACCTTCTACATGCCACTAAACCTTGTGTTTGCCCTAGTGGTCCAGGGTGTCCTAGAATTTACTAAACAATGGGATGCTCTGGTGTTACTCACTTATTTGCTGTAGTTATGCAAAGTTCTCCCATCATGTGTCTTGTGTCAAAAGTATAAAGACACATTATTATCTGTCCCTTCCATACTCAGACAGCCCCGTGCATGGACAGAATCAACTCACCGGAGAAGAAAAGAGCTGAAACTGTTGTTGGTAGTGGAAAATATTTTCTAGAGTTTGCAGGTATGAAACTGCAGACGTGGAATTTGATGCAATGTGCCTATAGTTAAAAAATTCAGTCTCTAGTCCAGAAATATCGACATGAAACACTCCTGTGGCAATGTGCCGAAACAGTGCTTTCTGAAATCACCAGTTCACAGTCGCATACTGAATGACAAAGTTTTTATACCTTCATCGCCCTCAGCAAGACTAGCACAGTACAGTGTAATTTGGATTATAGTGCGAAGTGTTAGGAAACGTCTTGCCGTTATGACCTCCTTTGCCCTTGATGTATGGTAATTCTACACCTAAGATGAACTGGTATATTGACAATATCAACTTCTGGATGAAGAAAGAGGGCTGAAGACAAAGCCAAGCAAAACAAAGTTGATACTCTTGGTGGGAGTGAAAACGTTTTTTAAGATTTTACAAAATAGATATTTTATAAAAATATAATAGTAATCATCAACCTTTATGTAACCCCATTTTGATGGAGATCATTGAGATATTTCATGTGCCTTTTTATTTTCTTACTTGGTGTTCTTGCTTTGTGTGAGAGATGGACTTCCCTGGTAATGTTTTTGCTCCTGGTTTAAAAAAAATTCCTGGCAGCAATTGTGACTTATCTGAAGTTTAAATATATGTTGGTGAATTGATCTTTTCAAAGAGATATGAGGTTTTGCATCTGTATATGATGCATTTTCTTTTGCAGACTTATGGGTAGTAACTTCAAGCTTGTCTTAAGGACTGTAGAGATTTATATGGGGCTTAACACATTTAATTGTGTTATTTATATAATTGTTGTTTTGTTCTGTTTTGTTTTTTCTTTCTGGTTCAT